CAAACTTTGATTAAACAATTCAGCGTCCGATACAATTGCTCCTTCGAAATCTCACCCCATCTCCTTCAACCCTTTTCGATTGTAACCTCTTCGATTTTCTGTCAGGGCGAAATTTCTTCCTCGGATTTTGTTTAGTCAGGCTGCTGCTTTCTCGGCGCCGTCGTAAACAACAATGTCCGAATTCAATTGGCAATATTATCACTGTTTAACGCACACCGTAAAACTCCACCTTTATCACTTCAACATTGTTGAAGCGTACGTTCGATCCGCCGTACTTTCAGTACCTTGTTAGCTACATTTTCACCTCTGCCTGTTTTTATTGATCCACCTCTCTCTCGAGATATGACTCATTCTATAACGGAAGCAATCTTGAAAACAACAATTACAATTTCGCAAAATAGATTGCATCTCGAATACACAGTCGATTTTGTGCCCCCCAGGACCCGTCTTTTTTTGCCTTTTATAGGGCAACCCCAAAACTCGGACTTGGCATGTGCCTTGTGACGCACCCCGTATTTGTCACCTCGACGATGTAAATAGAAAGAGAATTTCTCGCGCGATTGAACGCTGATTTGGCCGTTTGTTGTAGTAAATATTTAATACACAAACAGAAATGGAGTTTTTTTCCCTCGAGAGGCCACCCCCTTTTCGGTCGCGCCATTGTGGTGAAGACTTGAAAGAGAGGGGTTTCGCCCCGCTAAGAACGTCACATTAAACGAAACAAAGTAGTATCGATGGATTATAGGAGGGCGAAACTTCGGTCGATTCCCAAAAATTGTCTTCATTTTGCTGAAAAACCTCTCCTGGGGTTAGTAAATGAAAACAGTAGAAAAAGAAACCATTCGGGGTCGTTAATGAAAATAGATGGTAAATCTTGAAATGAAAATAAACACCATTAAGATCTAAAAGCATCTCGCAGATCTTATTGTTGGTGTCCTTCACCTATGAGATCTATCCCACCTTCTCAAAGAAGGCACAATGAGGGAAAGGATACAACATATTTGTAACTACTATTAATTTGCAAAAACTAGTTCAGTCTGCTTGTAAAATGTAAAACAGTTAGATTAGACAAAATAAACCGGACGGTTGTAAATGGCGATCGTAAAGCTACCCGAATAAAATAACTGTTAAAAATATTTTTCTACTCCAATTCGAGCCGGTCAGCTAGCTCCCCAGAGAGGAAGTATATTAACGAATTAAAGTGCACCGAGGTGACACATTACAAATGTAAGGGGATGTCACAGGGCGAGAGGGTAAGTTCTAGCAACGGCCGTGCGGTGGCGTTGTAACCAGGGTGATAGCCGGTCCCCAGTCGTTTGATCGGGAATATATTATGCGCTGGATTACAGATGAACCCGAGTCCCCTTGCTTTGAAAAAAAAAACACCACCCGTCACCTGAGTGACTACGCCATTTAAATTGAAGCGGGAATTTAATAAACTTTATGCTTAGCGAACTGTTAATGATCCGGCGAGCAATCAAGATTTCTAGCGTTAAGTAGAACGGAAACCACGCGTGGGATCGAACCCGTATCGAGTGTCGCCATCCTACAGGCATAGACTCGTTAGTACTAACACAAAAAATTTTGCTTTCATTTTCATTACCAAACTTTTAATCACTGTCATCTTCAATACGTACTAAACTAGATTCAAAAACTTTCCCAATAGAACACAAAAGGGCTTAATGTGATGACCTTGACTTCAAAATTTTAAGAGTGCGGAGCGATCAAACATACCCGAGGAGCTATGTTTGAGACATGTTTATTTTCATATCACCATAAGTAATAGTATAACACTAATACTATTATTGGGACACTCGAACTCCGTACTTTTATGGAAGTCTACCACTTCCATAAAAATACGATAAGTAAGCGGCTGTTAAAGCACTGCAAGTCATAAAAACAGTGTCGGGTTTTATTGATAGCTGTAAGAGAACACCAAACACATTTGAAGGATGTAACACCAGTTCTTTCTGATCTGGGTCACATCGGGGTGAATGGACCAAATAAAAAAAATGGGCTGGGAGAGTACTAAACTAAGTTTTTAAGGACTTCAATTTTTGACCACCCTGTATAAGATAGACCGATACAACTAATTATGTTCCGTTTGGCGCCAATTACGATTTAAAGTTTGTTAATATATTATAAGTAATAGATGTGGAAGGTTGTGAGAGTGAAAAATAAAGAAGATAATATCGGCGTTTCTGTAGGGAAAAGGGTGAGCAATTAAATTTAATTTCAGAGGAGAGATGTGTCTAATTAGCTACACTAGTATTCGCTGGAATTGCCCGTTCCTATGTGATTTAACCGGGGGCATTTTAAAATTATTGGGGTAGCCTCCATGAATTACAGAACTTTTTGCGAGTTTTACGAGAGAGGGGAGCTTTCTGTTTTCCCTGGTCGCGGCCGCAAACTAATTGAAAATCCGGGCATTATAGCAATTAGAATTCCGGTTTCGCGGGATAACATTTTCAGATGACACCTTTCAATTCTTCTGAATTCCCGACAAGAGGAGTTTAATTTATTTTGCATAAATTATTGCGCAGGACGGCTTCGGTCCCCCCGGGGATGCCGAACAAAAGATGTCGCCGTCTTTCAACTTTTCATACAAGATTAACTTTTAAGTAGTCATAATTATCATCACCCCTTTAATGCAAATTTCCGGGACGCCTGGCAAAGTAGGAAGTTTCGAATCTTTCGAATGTTTCTCCGTTGTCGCAAAAATAGCGGAATATTAATTAAATTTCGACGGAATTCCGAATTACTCGCGTTCGTTTAAAACGCACTTTTTTGAGCGGCGCGGCTGGAATGAGCTGAAATAAAATTAGCGTGGTTAAATGAGATCTAACTAGACGGACAAAAAATGCGAAAACCGTCTACTTTTAAAAACAACCGCTACAAATACCAACCTTCCACATACACACAGCGAATAAAACCTTATAATTAAACTCGGCTCTTATGAAAAATGCTATTACAAAAAATTGAGAACATAACGCACTTTTATATATACGTTTACGGAGAATTTGAATCTTTCAACCCTTTGAGCGCTAGCTTTATGAATAACCAACAAGCTTTTTCTCATTTAAGTATTTATTTAAAAATTTTACTTTAAAAAAAATCGACCCCGAATTTTATTTCCGACCGGATTTTTAACCTTCTAAAAGAATTTAGATTTCTTCGGTAAACGTTCCGATTTGAGACCTTCGAAACGAACTCGAGAACATACCGACAGACGAATTCCAGAGTGACTCATCGTTTTATCAGAACCGTTCGAAATTTTACCATTTAATTTCCTTTAATGGTTACCCGCCACTTCAGATTTACTGAATTCATCTATTTATAACGTTCCTACCGGTTTATTTACTTAACAAACTTCTCGTATTAATTAATTAATTTCATTAATTTGTGCGCAATCGCTTTAACGCTTTTCTGTTGAAAAATTCTTTTACGCATGTGCAAAAAAAATAATTTAATTTTAATAAATTTCTGCTAATAAATATGAATGATTTAAGCGATTAATATCAATAAACTAAAGAGATTTCTCTCCTTTTATAAATCTAACCGGAAGAAAATATGTAGTGTCTCGTGGGAAAATACGAACTTGGAACGTATTTTTCCTTCTCTCTTTCTACTTTGTTTCCATAAATTTCTGTATACATGAATGTTCGTTATGGTTAAAGCTTATATAAATTTCTTTTTCAATTTCTAATAGTATTAAGGTTTCAACGTTATCGATTTATTCGATTAAAACGCTGTTTTAGAGGGTGGTTGGTTTGAGGGGTGCGAAAGTTGTAGATGGGCGTCTAGCATCCCCCGTGTGAATATGAATGTTTCAATTTCACAGTCTGTTGCATCCTAAAGTTTAAAAGAATACCGGGCGGCACCATAAGTGCACGTTCTCGGGGGGAGGCGGCGAGAAGGGTGGTTTTTGCGATAGGGGCGGCGTTCGTGTGCAGGGCACCTGTCGATAAACATCGGGCCTTGTCGATTTTTCCGATGTATCCGACGACGGAGGACCAAAAGTGCTCGGAACGAGCAGCAAAAATAAAACTAATGCCGTGAACGCCGAGCTGGCCCATTTAATTATCCCGAGGGTTGGTAAAACAGGGTGCCTTAATCGCCGCCAACAACAATACAGCTCGTCGGAAGCCCGAAAGAGAAGAACTAAATTTTAATTATCTACATCTGTAATAGCCCTTAAAGCTCGGAAGGCGGAAAATAATTACCAAGAAAAAATACGTAAACTATTTATTATTTTTGGTTTAAAATAGCTCCTAACAAAAAAAAAGATTTAAAAACCTTTTCAAGCGTCTAATTTGAAAATCCCTCGAATTGAAGTGAAGATAAATAGAAACCCCATTAACTTTAGTTGGTTTTCGAGATAACTTCGCACACGCTTCCACCCCTATTCGCACCATTTCCCTATTCTATTCTAAATAACTAACAAAAGATCTCTTTGAGTAATAAAAAGTCTTCTTTTAATGCAATTACTTTTTTATTTCTTTTAAAATATCCATTTTCGTTCAGAAATCGTATAAGCTCGCACGGAAACGACCTTGAATACAAATATAAAATTTTATAATAAAGTGCTTTTGAAAAGGTAAAAAGTGCCAATTAAACCCGACGCAATTTTATCGAGATTTGACGATCGTTCGAGTAGCGTAACGGTCAATGTGGAACGATATCCGAAAAGGCTTCCTAATTAACAAACACCCATTCGGCAAATTGAAAAGGGCGTACGAATTTAGTTTGTTCGAGTATAATGGGGTGGCCTCGTTCGATAGAGAACATATTTCCCCTTCAAAGGATTGAAATTGAAGACGCGAAACAAAGTGTCGCACGCCATTGCGGTAATGGAAGATCGCGGTTTTTCGGTTAATTCAATAAGCGATTTCGAGAAGATGCAAATGTGGTGGTGTCAAGACGCGAGGGTGTCAAGACGGTCCCGACTTCGTCTCGGCCTCCACCGTAGGGTCGTTAAGGGAGTCGGAGCGAGAACTAACCTTCTTGAGATGTCCCGTGGCTGTCCCTATGAAGACTACCGTAAAATCACCCGTGGAGGTGGCTGCGACTGCAGTCAATCTTGTGTTAAAGACCAACACTGGCACGGCGGAAATTGGTGCTTCACCTCCCAAAGGCGTGTTCACATCCAACCCACAGAAGTCCTCTGCTATCGTTTGCAGTTTCTAGAAAGAGAAGAAAACGATTAAATTAGCTAACATAGTATTATTACATAGGGTGTTCAGAAATAGTGTCACAACTGGATTCTCCGTCTCCTTCTATGAGCACTATTTCTAAACAATCGTATTCATTTAGGAAATGAGAAAATAAAATAACTAACTCCTTCCTACATCGAACGAAGTAATAGAATAAGATAATGACAATGTGTGTAAGAAAATTAATAGTTATCGACATAAGGTAGAGTTTTGTTAGGATGTTATAAATGGGCATGCGCGGGCGTATAGGTTAACCGATACTGGGGATTGCGGTTTCGGCCGGAAAGGAGATGTGTTTGAAGAAAAGCGGAGGAGGCTTAGCGGGTTGTCATTAACGGGGCCGCGGTCGTTTCTTCGGGCAAACGAGGGGCTTAACGAGGAGTAAAAGTCGAATTTGAGGTGCACCGCAGAACGCGGGGCCTTCGGAAGTGGCGATTAGCCGTAGCTTTCGGTGCAACTGTTTATTCGCCCCATGACTATGGCTATGGCCAGGCGGTCCAGATCGGTCCAGAGCGACCCAGGTGATATTAGGTGGTCGGGTACCGTTCTCCGGAGGTCGACCGGTCGAACAAATGCTCGGATTCTCACGATCCGGCGGCCCAACATCGCATTACAATATTTTAATAGATACGCTCGGTGTGACTAAGGCACGACTAGTAATTACTCTCTCTCGCTCGTTCGCGGCTCTCGTTCCAGCGAGAGAGGTCAACGGAACTGTCCGTTCGGCGTGGAGTTAATTGTCAAAACAGCCGAGCGAGGAGCTTGCTGCTCTCGGCTCGCCGAAGCGATGCCGTACCTCCTTTTTTAATCCAATCTCCGTCCACTTCGGAATCGCCCGAGCGTAATAATTGTCCGACTCTTCTAATCCTCCAATGATCATAATTATATACTAGCACAATACCGCAACTCTATACCCGTTAGATAGTACCCCAACTGCGACCTCCACCTCGACCGTGCCCACTACCCAGATGTATGACGTTCCTATCTTTGATCGCTTAAGGCTGATTATTCCACGTTTTCATCAAACGCGCATGCGCAAGCGAATATTTTTCAACTTTGTAGTTATTGAGGTTAAATTTTTTAAATTCAACACGTATGATCAAAAATGAAAAATTAAACTTGTAAAACTCAATTTCGTTGAAAACAAAATTTTGTGCAATAAAGTGATAATGGAATTTTTGATGTGACATTTCCGGATAAGAAAAACGTTTCGAAAATGAAATAAATGTAAAATGAAATGTGTTAATAAATATTAATAAATATTCTATTTAGTTGGTAATATTTCTATATCCGGTTGTATGCCGACTCTCTCCATTATAGAGATTCTCCTCGATTCAGCTCGAACGCTCGAATTCAATTTGCGGATAGAATACGTGAGAACTTGCGGAGATGGGTTGATTAATGAATTTTTAATTACTTTTTCTAGACGGTTTTAATCAAGACGTCCGAATAAAAAGCGGGGCGTCCGTGGGCCGAAACGTGAGCGAATTTATCGCTTCCCTTTTTTTCCTGGACAGGGTCGGTCGAGGTATTTAATGTAAACTAATTTATCAAAAAAGATCCGTACAAGTTTAAGCTAGTTTTTAATGTGGACTGTTCCTTTTCGAGGTAAGAGGGTAATAAATCTGAGCATTTCGTACCATAAATTCAAGGATATAAGCCGATATTAATTAAACTCGAAAAGGGAATTGAGAAGTACAAAAATCCATATTCCGGAAAAATCCAGGAAGATATTAAATCTCTCTAAGTAAAGAGAGATTGAGAAGGGAGACCACCAAGAATAAAATTAAAAGGTGAAAATTGATATAGAAAGGAATCTTAACTCTAGAACCCTTTCGTTCTGTAAATACCCAGCCTTTTCAAAAACAATGCTCGCTGTTCAAACAAAAGAATCCCTAATCAAATACCCATTCCCATTTATCACCATTTCAACCTCCCCCTCAGGTCCGTGTACGTTTTCGCTCTCTTCTAATTTTGGGCCCTTATCGATTAGAGCTTTGTACTTAGTTCCAGTGTACAATTCTGGGCGAAAGGGGAAAGTTTTAGCCCGGAATTCTTAGGTCCGGCCCTTTTATTAGGAAATTCCATTTGCACCAACAGTTTTGAGATGCTTTAACTCGCAACCCTCACCGACACTTAACCCCCCACAACCTCACAGCGCATGTCCGAACCTGTATATGCGACCCTTTTTTCGTACGGTTTTTCCAAACTAGGTCCCCGGTCCGACCGGAACTTTGTCCGCCCAGATATGAAACCTCAAGTTGAATTGGCTTGTAGGGGAGTTAATTAAACGGTCCGACAACCCCGAAAAGAACCCTTCCTGCCCTACTTGGGCTTTTCCAATGGGATTTTGGCTAACGACTATCTCTACATCTCCGCAAATTTAAATTACGCATTGCAATTACGCATAATGTAATTATTATCGAACGCGGTTGTCAATATTTCCGATAAGAAAAACCGAATTTCATTAAAACGTTATATCTCATATTAAATATTGGTGGTGACATGCTAATTATCAATATTAATTCAATATCCAATTTATTAAACAAGATTATTTTAAAACATTCTAGATATATATATATATATAGAGATGTTGTAGCGTCTCGGCCGAAAGCGACCTCTATATATATGTATATATATATATATAATTATTTGTAGTAGTTGCACGTACTATGATAAAAATTTATATGATTTAGAAGAGACTTCAAGGCCGTCACGTACACGACGTATTATTGGCAGGTCTACTAAGCGATGGGTAGAAGCTAATAGCATTGAAAGGTATTAATCGTGAGTAGATGGAAAATGCTTGCTCGTCAATTCCAAGTAAAATCGTTTTGTATGCGGATGGTGTCAGATAGGCTTGATGAAACTGGGAACGAAGTATGACGATGATTTAAAGGACAATTAAATTTTGAGAAATAAACCGATGACACAAACACGTCGGTCTGAATTAAGAGGAAAGAGGCTTAATTAATTAAATAATAAAAGTATGCAAGCAAAAAGGTTTCGGTGATATAAAGTTTTATTAAAATACATTGCGCGTTTTGCAAATTTAATATCCAGACGTTGCGCGTTTGATTTAGTGCCGTCACTCAGCTTTTTGCCGTTAAACAAGGCGAAACACGCAATAATGTCGAAATTAACTCGACGTGTTCCCCAAACTGTTTTGTTTTCGCAAAAACCCTCGCTTGGTTTTCCAGGAATTTAATGTTCAACTCTAAAACTCGAATGCAATATTAATGCGTTTCAGTTTAATAAAAGGCAATATTGAATACCTTAATATGTGTTCTTGTTACGAGATTTGTAGTAAATTTGGGAATTAAATTTGATTGTTGCCCGATAGTGAGCTGTTGTGACATCAGGCTCTGAAAACGGGCTGTATTTATGGGTAGCAGCGTGCGCAAGAATGTTAAATGCTAATAATAATGCTGGCGTAGGTTAACTGAGCGCGGACCGCTCGCTGATAAAGGGGCATTAACATTTGAAACCAAAGCCGTAGTTCGCTCGACATTCGTTTAGGGGCAAGACAAAAAGAGGACCGGTCGTTTTTCAAAGAAATCGATAGATAATAAGCCGCTATTAAACCTTATCATAGGTCAGCTACATTTTATTGATCTGGTAACACGTTGTCTGTCCACAAACTACCGCTCGGAAATAATGGCGGGTTTGATGACTATTGTCACGCGGAGTGTGCGCTGTATTCGATACTAAACAGTATTTTTCCATTTCTTACTTACGACCGCGTCACTAGAGAATTTAGAAAATTGATCCGCAGAACGTAGTCAATCTAGTTCGCAAACTAGATCTGTGGTTTCGTCGCCGCAACTCTCATTATCATGGTAATAACGTTGTTATCATAGACCACAAATGTGTTATTTTTAATAGTCGTGTAGGAAGCAATTGGAACTCAACAGTTTCCTCTTTCGCAACTGAAGCATCCTTTCAATATTAAACAGGCAATAAAACCACACACTTTTTTAACACAACCTTATCTATCGACGCAGCTATATTTATACACTTTATGCTAAATTTAATGTAATTTTATGCAATCACCGCGTTTTCTTTTCTTTTTACAGAACAGTTACAAATGTTATAATAACGAATTAATAATTATAAAGAAAAATTGCCCTGATGATTGAATAAAGATTGAAACCGGTCGAGAATAAATTTTTACGATGAGATTTTTAAACTCGTTGGGACTCGCTTAAAACCTGGTTTCATTGACGTCATGCGTACTGGTAATAATCGACTTTACGGGTAGTGAAGCGGTTAATGGTGGTTGTGTTTAACTAAACATAGCGGAGGCTTTTGTTACAAAACGCGTTCCGCGTTTTATTATTTTTTTGTTTTAGATTTTTTTGGTGTGTCGTTGTAACCGAGTGCCGAAAATGATTATTGAATTACGAGCCGTTTTAGTAATGGAGCGAAATTCGTTGCGTACGGGTAATAGATTAAAAGCGCGATTTCGATATTCGTTTACGGCGTAATAATATTATCGGGAAACAATATTCCTCGGGAAACGCGGAATAAAGCGGAGCGGAACGATGGCAGATGCAGTTGAAGTTGCTGCTGAGAGCGAACAAATAACGCAATTTCTTTAATGACTCTGGCGGCTGGAGCAGCGCTCCCGGAATTCTGTACGCATACGGCATCTTTTGTTATTTATGGCGCGGGTGCATCAAAATTCACAAGTCGCCTATAATCAGCGTTTTCGGGACGGATATAAATGAATCTGGCCGGATTTCAATACACTTAAAATGTCAACCGGCACGAGCATTTCTCGCTTGTTTTATTAATGAAAATATACCGGGACGTGTTCTCGCCGTGGAGATGAATTCCAACCCTTTACCGAGGAGTGGAAATTGGGGGAGGCAATCTACCATCGCTGTGTTGAACGAGCAAAAACGGCAGCCGACGCAAATCCGACGGCTAAACAGCAAAACGTTTCACCACACCGACATGGACACCTG